AAAAAAATGCATCTTTACTAAAAACTCTCCTTATATATCCATTTGGTTAAGAAATTATTATCATAATCTAGATTGAATTATATTACACAATAAAAATTACTTAATAAGGAGTGTATTTACTTATTATTGTTATGTGATTGGAATAATTTTAAACCAACTTAATGGGTTAAATAATTTATTATCATATTTAAAAATTTAAATTTAAGTGTTTTTTTTTTTTTAAAGGTAATGGTTAGAAAGATAGCATGAATTAGTTGTTAACAATTGGGGGATTCGATCTCTTAGACCGGGTGAACATTCTACTCTCTCAAATAAGTGATCGCTTTTTGGTAGAGTTTACGATAGTGGTAGAAGTCGAAATTCTGACCACGTCACCCAAGCATTTAAGGTTTGAGATCGAATTATTGGGGTTAAAAACTTGATTCTTTAAATTTAAGTGATTGTAAATTCTATTCTAACTAATTATACGTAAACTTATTTCTTTCCCTTAAACTTTTCATATTTAAAAATAATAATAATAACAATAATAATAATAGTTTTGTACCATTTAAAATTTTAAATACTAAAACATGAACCTATATTTATTAATAATGATTTTGGGAATTTAAGTGTTTTTTCAGGTAGTCCGTACTAAAAAATCAATTTCTTTTTATTTATAAATTAGGCTGTTTGACGATTGTGCCCCTGCATTTCCACTTTCGTTATTGTCACTAATCGGCGCTTCAACGGAGCAAGAAAGCGGGATCGGAGTCGCTAGGGTTTTCTGAGGTAGGCTGTTACTTTCATGTCCTCTAGTTGAGTTATTTTGAATTATTTTTCGAGATTTTCCGTTTGTTTACCGAGAAAATCTTAGAAGCTTAGAACTTGAATTTTCCTTGATCTGCTGTATAAAGTTTCAGTTTTTACTACTTCGATTCGATGAACTTCGATGCTGTGACTATTGATTATTAATTATTTTTTACTAGCGATTCTGAAGCTCTTAATCTTTGTTGAACTTAAAGGCCATGGCAGGATCAGGGAGTTCCATGCTATATTCATTTCTTCTGTTTACTGTTATCCTTTCACTCCAAGAGATGTATAGAGGGAAGTTAGCGTCATCGGAGTTGTTTACCATACTTGGAGGGTTCATCAGCTCTCTATTATTTCTGGTTTTGCTCACAGTGAGTTTCGTTGGCTCCCCTGTGTATTGCTTAGTTAAGATATTGTTATGATTGAATGTGCTTTCTTTGAGTGTACCACCTTAAAAGTGGGAGCTTTCTTTTTTCTTTTTTTTTTTTTTAATAAATTGGGCATCTTTAGTTTGCAAAGGATTGCTGGACATGCTAGCTGGATTTCAAAGTTGGAATTTACATCTTTCCTCTACATTTGAGCATTTTTAATCTGTGTTTTGGGTTGGCTTCTTTCTTGTGTAGAACTTATAGTGTAAACCTTTACAATTCTGCAATTGCTGTTTCTGTGAGACATATATGTAGAAGCATGTTTTCTGCACATGATATATAGCATTTCTTTTATCAGTTAGATTGGATTTATGAAATTATGGGCGTTGATTGGCATCATATATCCATTAATTGTTGTAAATTAATGAGCTTGTCTTTTATTTTTGCAGTTCATTGGGAATTTTCAGGAAACATGTGGCATGAGAACTGGTTGGGGTGCTGGTAATGCATTGATTTCTTTTTATTCATTCCCTGGTTTGCTCTTTATTCTGTGACAATAAGATGCTATTGACAAAGTTGGGAAGAATGAACATTGAGTAGTTATCTTTAAATGTTGTCCTGCTCACTTTACTCTCCTCTGCAAATGGAGTACAATATCCTCATCGTTCCCTACAAGCTCATCTAATGCTTGTACACATAGAAGCCAGTATCTCCAGACTTTCTTGGCATTTCCAAGGTTCACTCATGCCTTTCTGTGGACTACTGCATGCTTGACACATGTGGAGCTGCGTCTCTTGTAGTAATAACTCTCTAAACTTAACTGAAAATAAAATGCAGACACAATTTGGGTCCTTTTAACTCTATAAGTAAGTTTTTCCTCTGGTTTGATGACAAGAGCATGCATGATACAGCATTAAAAAGTGAGATCATTGTCTTTTTCATCGGAATGAAATTAAGGATGTCAGGTTAAACAGTGCTACGAAGTGCAGAAATTATTGCAATGTTAGTTGGCAATATGTATTTTGGCTTCACTTTCAATAGCTAATAGAGTAAGATGAATGAGTACTTGTACAAGATTCAAGAGTGTATCACTATTTTTTTTTCCCCTTAGATTTTATATTTTGAATTTTTTCCTGACACCTTTCCTTGCTTCTATGTGATCTGAACTGAGATTCAACAGCTATAAGAGGCTCAATAAATATTATCAAAAAGCTTCTTTGAATTTTAATGGCTACTCCTAATGGAAAATTTAAACTTTAAACTTTGATCTCAATATTTGAGTGTGGAATGCCCTGCTCTCATTTTTTGTTTTTTTCTTTTCTTGCAACAGTTATATTAGCTGAAGCTGTTGCTCTTGTTGCTGCTAGCACTGTCCATCGAGTTTGTATCACCACATGGTAATATTATGATCTGAAACTTTTCATTTTGCCTTTTAATTGCAAATTGGCATTGAGTGTTTTGTAAATTTACATGTTGGTGATGATTTTTTGCTTTTCTGTTTGATGCAGTTTCTTGTTCTCAGTTGCACTTCTTTATGAGGTTAACAAGATCTCAGCAATGGTGCTTGCAAGAAGTGAATCAAAAACAAAGAGGCTCTAATTTGAAATATAATTCCCTCTTAGTCAATGATACATCAATCAGAAAGTTAATTGTTTTGCATTTTGCTCTCTAAGGACTGCGAGATGTATTTGATATTGATCGGTTATGAGGTTTTAGAACTTATCACACCACTCTTATTTAGCATTCCTTTGCTGGTTCCATGTTGGAAGCATGCAACAGTTGTCTTAACTGATTACTTTCTTGACAGGAAGAACTTTGATGTTCATGTGACTTAGCATGTACGGTTTTTAGTACTCTCCATGCTTAATGATTAAGCACCCAAAGAGTTGGAGTCTATAATAGTTGATCTAATAAAGGCCCTTTGCTTTAAAAATGAAACTAAGGTGTCAATGTTGTCATGAATTCTCTTTTGAACGCCTGAATTTGCTTAACATTGCCAGGAAATGCTCTAATGAATTTCTGAGTTATGATTGCTAACTTTTGTTCATTTAGAAGAATGAAACAATAAAGCAAGCAAATTAAATTTCCGAACTGAATGAACTGGATTATTGGATGGCTGACTTAAGATTCTCTTGTTGACATCTAGTCATCCATGACTCATGAGCTCGTATAAGTTATATAACCAGGCTTCAACCTTCAACTTAGATTCGAGAGAGGTCATAATTCCAGAAATCTCTCTGACCTTGCAGTCATTGAACTCAAATTAACCAATAAAGCATGCATGAGTATCTTCTGATATCTTATCTTTCGGTAAGAGATGTTTCAACTCTCAAATGCCCAAAACAACTAGCTCTTACCATGTCTTAGCTGTGAGCAACATGCTGACACAATCCAAGTAACAAAGGGGGAAAAAAAATTGAGTTTCCAGTTGCCTACAAAAGGAGTTCATAGTCTGCCGTCCAGTGAGCGTGAAACCTTGATTCAACATAGCAAGATATCTATAAATTACTTGTAATTCTCTTTTTGCTTAAAACCAGGAGCAATTTCCTCAATTTCTATCCCTAGCTGAAGCCAAGGAGTGATCTATAAAATTCTGCGTGAGCTACATCATATTGACCCAAAAGCTTGTTGAATGCTTTCTTTGACTGAGTGTCAAAGTTCCTGAGACAATTTTCTTAGGCATGTGTCGTGACAAATAAGTTTCCACTATTTAGCTGGGAAATTATACAACACGGATACCTGCAAAGAGTGAAACTTGCAGTAATCAGACATTAACTCTCTGTATCTCCCCCCCTAAACCTGGGATGCATCTTTTAAACAGCCATTTAACTCAAGAGTCCTCAATCACATAAAGGCTCCTTGATCAGAAGGTTCATTTTCTCGTGAAGAAATTTGAGAACATCCTCCCTGCCTTCCTTTATAAGCAATTGTCTTAATCTTGAAAATGTGGAACTTGGAGGCCGAATCCCCTTTTCTAACATCTCTTCCAATAAGACACAAGCCTTAGTAACATTGCCCTTCTCACACAGTCCATTTATAAGAACTGAAAAGATATGCATGGTTGGAATAAACTGCTTCAAACTCATGTACTTCCACACTTTAAATGCCATGTCTAACTCATTCCTCTGACAGAACATCTTTATCATCATTGTGTACGTGTCTGCATCTGGTTCACATAACTTGATCATCCTGCGAAATGTTTTAAAAGCTTCTTCAGTCTCCCCACGACCTATCAAGCTGCTAAGAATGATATTGCAGGTCCTTGCATTAGGTGCCACCCCCTTTACATCCATCTCATTTAAAACCCTATATACATTCTTGAACTTATTCACTTTACAGAAAGCACCAATCAGGGCATTATATATGGCAACATCAGCCATAATTCCATTGCGTTCCATCTCTAAGAAGGTGTCAACAGCATCTTCAATCCTGTTTTCAATCCCATAAGTATGAACCAGAACACTATAGATGAAAGATGTAGGCCTGCAACCATTAGAATCCATTTCCCTAACAATTCCAATGGCTTCATCAACTCTCCCTGCCTTGCAGAGAATGTCAACCATGATACCATAGGTCACAATATCAGGGTTACAACCCATGTCAACCATTTCTCTAAAGATCTCCCTTGCCCTTGGCAGATTTGGAGCCTTCCCCCATCCTTGAAGAAGAATACTAAAAGTTTTAGAGTCAGGGACAAATTGATCTTTCATTCTATCAAAGATCTCTTGTGCCTTCCTCACATTATTAGACTTACACAAGGCACTTAACAGGCCATTGAATGCTGCTAAGTTCAGTGGGACATCATACTTCTCCATTACATTAAAAGTGTAAACTGCCTCCTCCACCTTCTGAGCCCTAGCATACTTCCTCATAATAATGCAGAATGTCTCAACATTTAGCATCGTCTTATTCCTCATTGCATTCACAAGATCCCACATGATCTGATACTGCCTAATCCTGGCCAAAGATTCAATCATGGTGTGGTAAGCTTTAACACTGTGCACATAATTCCGCTGCTTCTCAGCCCATTCGAAGAATCTATAAGCCACCATCCCAGCATTTTCAAATCTCCTTAAAACATTCTCCACTATTTCAGGTGAAACCTTAATCCCACTTTGGTTTAGAACAGTATCAAGCACCACCGGAGGGGAGGACATCATAATTTTACATATTCTTTTTGTTGTATCTGAAACCTCCATTGCTGGTTCACTGGAAGCATACCTCCTCAACAGTATACCCCATCCCAAAACTAATCTATTCTGAAAGTAGTAAACTTTACTCGTACCAGTAAACTTAATCAGAAGTGAATCCATCTGAAACAAAGAGAATGAATAAAAATAAGAACAGCAATCAAATACATTTAATAGAAAAAATTAGACTTAACAACATCAAAATGATGTTGTCAATCGCAAACATTCTCAAGACGAAAGCTCAAAACTCAGTTAGATAAATCCCTAAACAGGCGACCCGTTTAGTTCAGAATTTGACATCCAAAGAATTAATCGTGTTTAAAGGATCGTTTTTTAAGCGAAATTTAGGCTGAAAAAACTAGAAAGGAAACAGATACTTTACCGAAATGGCGGAGGAGGCTGCGGCGGCGTTGTGAGAACGGAACGCCACCTGCGATGCTATAACTGGGGAATGGCACCGTCACAACCGCTGCCTCTCTGGTTAGTCAAAACACGGTGCATTTAAGCGGCTGTTTGGTGATAGAGAAAGCGCTATCCTGGAGATTATTGTCACGAAATGCTTCTTTTTTTTCTTTTTTTTTTACTTTGAAACAGTGGATTGCTTGTAAAATTATTGATCTTAAATAAAAAAAATTTAATTATTAAATGT